AGTTAGGAACCCAAAAAGGACATAAGCATAAGCATTTTAGAGGGATATCCCTACCTTATTGGGCTTCATTATAAGGGGATTTATATGGGATATCCCTATCCTAGTTTTTGCTTATGTGCTTTTTTGGGGCCCTACATAGATCTCCGGCGTATGAAGCAACTTGTTGATGACGGCGGAAGTGGGGCCTCGAAGATGGCTGTTGGAGGTTTGCTTCCCGATTTTTGCTTGACAGGTTTCGGGACAGTGGCCATGGGCAGCAAGTCGGGATCGACCCCAGCGTTTCAACACCGCAGCTTCTCAGGTTCTGGGATGGGTTCTGGGATATGCGAGTCGGGTTCTCTCTGAGAAGTTGGAGTTTAGGATATGGTTTGGCTGTGAAGGAGCAAGAGGTCCATCATCCGACGGAGGGGCTGCTGGTGGCCCTTCACGATGTGGCGAAGGAGGTCAATGCAGCACAGGGCTTTGGGATTTAGGCCTCCTGGGTTCTGAGGGCCAGGGCGGAGGCTGTAGGGACGTAGGGTGAAGGGCTTTCAGGGGGTCAAGGGTTTCCTCAGGAGGGCATGCGCCACTGCCTCTTGCAACAAGGATGAGCCAAAAACTCGCTTGTGTTCATTTCTCATGTTGGTGTTGAGTGCCTGGGCTTATGACGAGGACAGTGTTCCTAAACCCTAAACCCGCTTCAGCAATCCACAAGGGCTCAAACCCCAAGGCCTCAGATCTCGGACCCTTTTCAGCTCGGGTGAGAGCTAAGAACTCTCGGGCAGGTGTCGAAAGCAATGGAGTATGAGAGCTGGGCTTCGCGGCTGTCGATTGCCTACATCATGGCGCGCAGGACTGCTTCAGGTGCATGTTGACAGGCTTTGGTCTTGGTGCCGGGCGGGCTGTCAGGCGGCACCGGAAGTTATGTTGTGGCTCATGTCTGAAACTGCCAATACCAAGGTTTCGCCAAGTTTTCTATTCTTCTTGTTTCTTCATGAGTTGTCAACTTCGTGTGTGTGCCGTGAGTGTCATCCTGGCCTCATGCCAAGAGCATATGTCGGTGGCTGAAAGACAAAGAGCAGCTGTCCCGAAGATCTGTTCTGCAAGGATGTGGCATCCACAAGGAGTCAAGTTAGATAAGAAGCCTTATTGAACACCGATAAACCAGAACAAATCACTCCCAAGTAAACTTGAAATCCTAAGCCGTAAGCCTTAAAGCCGAAGCCCAGCTCACTCCCATAAACCCTCAACCCTAAAC